AATTAAGTCACCCTTGAAAAGACGCCCTAGCCATTTTTTCGGGGCTCCAAAAAAAATAAGACCTGGCCTTATTATATGAGAAACACGGTAGTTCTATTCTATTCTAATTCTGTTCTGTTCTATTCTAATTCTAATTCTAATTCTAATTCTAATTAATTCTAATTCTATTCTATTCTATTCTTATTCTATTCTAATTCTATTCTGTTCTGTTCTATTCTATTCTATCCTTTTTCTATTCTAATTCTATTCTATTCTAATTCTAATTCTAATTCTATTCTAATTCTATTCTATTCCATTCTTATTCTATTCTATTCTTATTCTATTCTATTCTTATTCTACTCTATTCTAATTCTAATTCTATTCTTATTCTTATTCTATTCTTTTCCTCTTAGTTGCTCTTCTCTGCACTCTTTCCAGAGTCTCAACATATTTTTTTAAAAGAACATCCTGGGGGTGCCTGGGACTGGGCTGAGCGCCCTGCCTTCTCCCAACCACAGCTCAGGTTCCCCTCACTTTTTGCATGGCCAGTCATCAGGATGCCTCCAGAGAACAGCCCCCTCCCTCCATTCCCTCCTTCAAACTGGCTCAGAGTCTTGGCAGAGCGGAGGAGTTTTTCCAACAGCTTCCAGTTGCTGAAATAGGAGCCTTCTCCTCTGTCCACCTAGACTGGAATTGGTGCCCCCTCCCCAACCCCTGCAGAGGCTTTTGGGAGAGGAACAGAGGTCAACCATCCGGTGGGTCTTATAACCTTGATTAAAGCAAGAATTAACAGGAGGAGCTGCTCTTTCCAGACAAACCAACCGGGGCAAAACTGAATTGAATTTGTCAGCAGGTTAGGAAAACCCACCAAGTTTTACTATTCCCTCTCTGTATCCTCCAGATCAAAACCCCCCAGAAGGCCAAGGTTTAACGGTGGGGTCCTTGATGATCTCCCAGCTCAGTTATTTTCTTGCAGACGTTTCATTATCTAATGAGGTGACATCATCAGTATTAAAAGGGAGTGGGGTTTGGAGAGAGGAGGAGGAGGAGGAGGAGGATTGTGGGGTCCTTGATGCTCTCTGAGCAGGATTGTTTCCTTGCACAGGTTTCATGACCCAACTAGGGAACATCATCGGTGCTAGAAGGCAGGGTGCGTGTGGAAAGGAGGAGGAGGAGGAGGGAGTTTAGTTCCTTGATGCTCTGTGAGCTTGCTGGCTTTCTTGCACAGGTTTCATGACCCAACTAGGGAACATCATCGGTGATAGATGGGAGTGGGATGTGTGGAGGAGGAGAAGGAAGAGGAAGAGGAGGAGGAGGAAGAGGGGAGGAGGAGTGTTAGATCCTTGATGCTCTCTGAGCTTGCTGGTTTTCTGGCACAGGTTTCATGGCCCAACTAGGGAACATCTTCAGTGCTAGATGGGAGTGGGGTATGTGGAGGAGGAGAGGGGAGGAAGAGGAGGAGGAGGAAGTGTGGGGTCCTTGGTGGTCTCTGAGCTTGGTCCTTTTCATGCAGACATTTCATGGCCCAACTAGGGAACATCTTCAGATGGGAGTCAGGTGTGGTGAGGAGGAGGAAGAAGAGGAGGTCTGTGGGCTCCTTGGGATCCTCTGAGCTTGGTGGTTTCCTTGCATGTTTCGTTAGGTGCAGTGAATCTATCACCTAGTTGGGTTGTGAAATATCTCCAAGAAAACAACGAAGCTCAGAGACCACCAAGGACCTCATAGTCCTTGTCATCGTCCTTCTTCTCCTTCTCCACCCTGCACACCCACCTCCCTTCTAGTGCTACAGATGTGACCTACTTGGGGTCATGGGACTTGGCTGAAGTATTGGCTGAACAAAAGGAACCTAAACCATTGTCTGGTGAAAAATAAAAACTTTTTTATTGAGTGATTGCAAAATAAATTCCCATCAGCTCTCCGTCATTTGCAAAGGCAATTGCAAAGCCCCAGAAGAATTGCAGTGCAAGTAAACATCTGACAAGATTAGAAAACTTTGGATGGCTTATAAACAAAAATCTATCTGCCTCTCACCACTCTAAGTGCGTTTGGGGAGGTTGTCAGGTTGGGTTTGCAAATATGTTCTAAGCAGGGTGGGACTGGGCAGCAGCCAAGGGACTTGGAAGCCTCCGCCAAGCTTGCTCTGCAAAAAGCACCCGGGTTCAGGTCAAAAGGGAACATGGTTGGGCTCTAACAACCCCCCAAAAAGAAGGGACATCACGTTCCCTGGAAGCTTGGAAGAGGTAGAGGCACAGAGGTTCTTCCCCCACTTGATACATTCCAGCTGGCCTGGGCTGGGCTCATTCTCCCCCAATCCAGCCCATAAGAATGGCTGTAGACCACCACAGCT